GCATCCTGCACCTACAGCTGTTTTTGCAGCTGGACCTCGCATTTGGGCTGCGGCAGACAAGATCTAACGCAGGCCAGGAGTCCCCAGCTGGCCTCACCCCTCCAGGGGTCTGGGCATCTCCAGTGTGCCCCACACGTACCTGGAGGGTGCCACTGCTGAATAGCATGAGCAAAGCTTGGTCAGTCTTCACCCACTGCAGGAGAAGCAGGGCCGGCTGCCCAAGGTCATCTACACTGGGCAAGTCACCTCCCTTGAAGAGAAGGATGAGAGTAAGCCACTGATCTCATACTTGGGAGCACTGCCACCAGGAGACACAGCCAAACCTAGATTCAGCCCCAGTGGGGTCCCCACTCCCAGGACACAACTCTCTAGGTGTCCACCTGGCCAAGCCTGTGAGCAGGGAATCCCACAACCCCAGGCAGTGTGGTCAAGCCATGACCCAACATCCAGCCTACCCACGATCCCAGCCCAGGGCCCCAGCACCCACCTTCATGAGATGTTGCTCCATGTAGGATGCAAAGTAGCGCAAGACACTCATCTGTCCCTGCAGCTGCTCGGGGATAGTGGCCACAGAGAACACAAGGTGTTTGCTGTTGGTCGGGTTGTAATGCACAGTCCTGGGAGGAAGCAAACCATGAGCTTTGGGGCCACCCAACACCAAATGCACCCCTGGCACAGCCTCCCCTTACCCCTTCCCACCTGAGGGGCTGCTCCAGAGACACCAGCCCCCTTCCCCACTGCTTACCTGCGGTTAGAGTCATGTGTGTGCCATTGTTGAAGAGGACCCCGATGCTGCGGTTGGAGAGCTGGTAGCCAAAGCCGTACTTGTTGGAGTAATCCACCCACTTGCTCACCCAGACAAAGTGCTCATGGCGGGGGCAGGTTTTTTTCCGCTGGTGGAGAAGAGATGGGCTGAGCAGAGGAGGCAGTCAGGCCCTGCCCATCTCACCTCCCCAGGAGGGGAGCAGTTCCCCGCTCCAGAGGGCTCTGGCAACATTTAAGGTACCCCAAATAGCAGCCATGCCTTCATCCCATGGGGAAGGGAATGCACAGCACCCTGTCCCATCCCAGAGCAGTCTGACCGGTTTACCTGGGGGCATGGAGGAGAGGCAGGTCTGCAGGAGCTGGACAGCAGACTCGATGATGGCAGAGGCAGTGATGCAGTCTTCAAAGGCTGCAGAGAGAAGATGGCAGGCTGAGTCAGCTGGCCCTGCTATCAGCCAGGGCAGGACAGGAAGCTTGGGGTGGCCGGAGCAGGTATTGCTCACCCTCACAGCTGCTGGCCATTGTCCCTCGGATGGAGGGGGTCACAGACTTGTGAGACGTCTCCTCCACCACTGTCTCCACGGGGCTAGAGCTGGAGCTGCGGCATGATATGGGGGTGGCCTGCAGAGAGACCTGGATTTATCACCATCCTGCCTGCTCCCCTGAAGATAGGTGTGCACAGGCTCAGGGATGTTCTCACCTCATTCCCTTCCACAGTTTTATAGCTCATCTGCCGGCAGATCGAGGTCTTCATCAGCCCAGTGACCAGCTTGGAGATGTCATCCTTGTCCTCTAAAGAGCCTTTCTTGGCTGAGGAGAGAGCAAGTGATGAGCACACTGTTGAGCACAGGGAATGGGGACATGTGGGCCACCCCTCCCAGTAGCTCAGCTCTCCCCTATCCATTCCCTTGTCCACAGTGCTAGGGGTGCTGTCAGGCAGCTGCCTCCCACTTTCACTTCCCAGTTCTCATGCAACACAGGGCTTCCAGGAGGAACTTCCCCCATGAGTTGCAGCACAGCATCCCCTCTCCAGGCACACACCCACACTGGGCAAGCAGGGGCAAGCCTAGCTTCTGCTGGCCCAGGCAGGGGGTTCACAGAGACCCATGAGGAGGTGTCTCCAAGAGACAGGACCCACTTCTCCCTGGAAGAAGGGTCACCCAGAGGCTCCTGGGCAAGTGTATGGACTCACCCTTGGGTTTCTTCTTCCCAAAGAGTGTCTTCGTGACTTTAGCAAACAGACTCTTTGCTGGGTTGGGGGGACTCAGCTCTGGAGCCATCACGCAGCTGCTGGGAGGGAGTTTCTCAGGCGTGTAGCCCTGCAGAGAGGTCAGGGCAGAGGTTTGGTTTCCATAGGCCGCATTTCCAGGCAGAGCAGCTGCCCTGGACTGACCACAGTCACTCACAGCCCTCCTGACAGCCAGCTTGCATTTCCATCAAGCCTTGGCCCCAGGACTGGCATCAGTATGGCAAACAGCCCATGCTACAGGCACAAGGTGGCAGAAGCACACCAGATCCCTCACTCCCCTGGTTGGCTGGCATGTGGGCAGGACACCAGTTGCTTCCTTTGAAGGACTGAGACTTGGGCTCTAAGGACAGCACCCTGCACAACCCAAAAAGCCTCATCCCAACTGGAGAAGGGTCAAGGCCAGACCCCCAGCCCACTCACCTTGAAGAACTCATGGTCCAAGATCTCCTCAAGGGTGAGGCGGTCCTGGGGGTTGCGTCTGAGGATGCCAGCAATGAGGTGCTTGGCAGGCAGGGAGAGGAAGGCAGGGAGGGTGTACTCCACTTGCTTGATACACCTGTAGGTCTCCTTGAGGTCGGAGGTCTCAAAGGGAGGGTTCCCGCATAGCAGGGTGTACCTGGGAGGAGACATACGTGCCACCGTCACATCCCCACCAGGCTTGTGACTCAGCAGCACTTAAAGCAAGGAAGTTATTGGCATTTGGCCGGCCACACCTGGCCAGGAGCACCACTTCCAGCCCAGGCTGCCGTGCTCGCATCCGGCCACACTTCCTCCTAGCAACTGTTTAGAGCAACAGGCAGGGAGCCCTGGGGAAGATAGAAGGCTGGCAGGAGACGGCCACCCTGCTGTCACCGCTCCCATCCCCTGCATGGCCACCACAGCAGAAAGCAGAGCAGGAAGCTGCGGGCAGCAGCCGGGCAAAGGGCTGGATGTGCCGAAGCAGCATCGCAGTTGCTCCCCACACAAACAGAGCAGCAGCTGCTGCCAGATTTTCCATTGTTTATCAGGTTTGCAGGGATGTCGAGCCTGCTTTGAACCGGAGCTGAGTGCGGCACGAGCGTGCCTGCCCTTTGCAGTTCCTGCTTGCACGGCCCCCAAGCAGCATCCTGGGATGGCTGGCAACACCCACCCCAAAGCAGGGCTGGGCAGGATCTGGCCACTCACTTCACTCCCCTCCCCCTGCCTTTCAGCAACCACAGCAAAGCCACAAGGCAAAGCGCAAGAGGACTTCCTCCTCGGGGCTGCTCCACAGCCCGGCTCTCCCCTACCCTGCGTGAGGCTGCCCAGACCCCTGCCCACCCAGCAGCACTGACTTACATGACACAGCCCAGAGACCACACGTCCGACTCTGGCCCATGGCCCTGCCTCAGCAGCACTTCTGGGGCCAGGTAGTTTGGGGTCCCACATATTGTCCTGTGGGGCAGAGTACCAGGTCAGTGCATGCTCTGCAGCCCCTCAGACAACCTCCCCCAGCCAAGCCCTGTATTTGGCTCGCAGCCTGTCTTCCCCCGCTCCATTTTGCTCCCCCTCCTCCATCTACAAGGAGCCCCATACAGACTTCCCCCTCCCCAGCTCCCAGGGGTCAGGAGCAGCTGCTCCTGGGGAGCCGTTGGGAAGAGCTTGTCCTAGAGTCAGGGAGGAACAGAGCCTTTGTGTCCCAGCCTGCACAGCCGGCATGGCAGCCGGGCAGGCACAATAGCGATAGTCAGCACATTGTTCTCCCTGACGGCTGCAAACTCACTCCTGAAGGAGCCACAAAGCCCCCAGCCTCCTCGTTTTGCCTGCAGCTGGGGCAGGAATTGCTCCTCCACCCCGGGAAGGGGCCTTAAGGCTTTCCTTAAGACCAGGAGCGACCACTCACCCTCTACCCTCCTGGGAAGCTGCAGGAAGAAGAGGAAGAGTGAAACCTCAGAGGGCTCTGGTTTAGGGAAATCTCAAACTTACTTTTTCTTCTGGTCAGAGATATCCTGGCAAGCAGCTAGCCCAAAGTCCCCCACTTTCAGCTCCATGTTTTCATTGATGAAAAAATTGCCTGCAAGTCAAGGGCAATGTGTGTCACCACAAGTCCCTCTGGGGCAGCTCGCTCACCACGTGGCACCCTGCCCCAACCACAGCACTCACCAAGCTTGAGGTCCCTGTGCAGGATGCCCTTGAGGTGAAGGTATTTCAAGCCTGAGATTATCTGTTTGAGGTAATAGCGCACTTCGGGCTCCAGCAGAGTATGGCGAGCCTTCCAGATGTGGGCCAGGGACTGTAGAGGGAGAGAAGGCAGCTCAGTGATGGCAGGCAGGGAGAACAGGCAGCCCTGCTGACTAAGCAAGGGGCAGGCAGGGTCAAAGCCAGTTCTTCCAGAAGTTGCACATCCACAAATAATCCTTCTTCCACAGCCATGACCTCAGCAGACTCCCCACAAGAGGCTGAGGTTACTCAGCCAGCCAGGGGAATCACTGGATTTACAGTGGCCCCACCAGGAGCTATGGGCTGCCAATATGAGCAGGCAGCCGGCGGTGTGCCCGTTGCCATGCAAACAACACGGGTTATGGCTGAGCTCAGAAGGTGTGACAGAGCGGGCAGCCAGACAGCCCAGGAGGAGCGTGCCAACAAAGCACCTCAGATAAGGCCTGCTCCAACCAGTCACACCTCTGTTTAGGAGAGCCTTTGGCAAGGAGGCCATACCAGCACTCACCTTCCTACTGCAGTGCTCCAGGAAGATGTAGATGCTTTCCGTGTCCTCAAAGTAGTGGGAGAACTTGACGATGTGCTTATGGTGCAAGTCCCGGTGCAGCTCGATCTCGTTGGTAATCTGAAACGGAATAGCAGTCCCAGGTAAGCACGGGACTCCTGCTGCACCCTGCCAGCCCAGCACCCCACCAGCCTCACAGCACTCACCTTCTCCCGCTGGTGGGGTTTAGCCACCCTGCTGTGAGGAATGACCTTTACAGCATAGGTTTTGTTGCTGGAGAGATCTGTCATTTCATAGCATCGTGCAAATCCACCCTGCAAGGCAAGAGGTAGTTATGGATGGGTGAGACAGCTCTTCGCCCCTGCCTGCTTACAAGCCACCTCCTCCTCCTCCGTTCCCTTGCAGCACAGCCTGGCAAGCATCACACGCTCCCTCCTGCTGTATCGCCCACTAAAATCTGAACTACGATGCTCTCAACCAGGGACTTTCTTCACCCAGTTCCTGTAAGACCTCCAGGCGTTTTTCCTCCCACCATGGCCAGACTCTGCATCTTTCCACGTGACAGATCAACCTGGAAAGCCCTGCGCAGGGCACGGAGCCCGGGCACCGGAGGCCACTGAAAGGCAGCCCCATGGAGACAGG